GTTGATTCTTTAATAACAACAAAGATTGATTGTTTAATAATAACAAAATAAGGGCTATTGTCCAATGATAGCAAAAATGAAGATAAATAAATAAGTCTGCCATCTTAATCTTTTTGTTTTTTTTACTATTTACAAAAAACAACAAAAACAACAATTCATAAATCCATATGCATCTTCATTATTTATCCAACAACAATTCGTGTTTTCTTAAAATGGCTTTTTCACGAGGTTAGGATAATTGTTAAATTTAATTCGTGATCCTTTTAAGAAGGAATGTAACACAACATTTGTTAATAATAATACCCATAATCTCAGCACATTTCTAAAATAATGTGTGAATAGTTATAAGAAAGAGGCCTTAGTAACCTAACAAAAAGAATTTATAGATGTCTATTCGCTATTTTTAACTGTTTTTTTATTAAAATATAAGTGTTATAGCAGCAAAAACGAAGCGTATTCTTTGAATTTTTATTATAAAATGTTGATATGCGCCCCGCCGATCACTATTAAAATCCTTTCCTTCTTAAAAGGATCACGAATTAAACTAATTTACGACCATCATTATTAAATTTAGACTAGCACACAATCATCAGATCTAAATTTGGCAATAATGAAATGTTAAAACCAGAATCACGTGAAGACCCTTTTTGAAATTTTTATTGCGCGAGTCACAAAATCGCTATTTTTAAAATTTGAGCGCGTGGTGCAGTAATAGGAAGTCTTTAGAGCGAGTCAGCCATATTAAATTTCTATAGTTTATCAATGGACCACGAATTAAGCCCCCCTTTAATTAATTGCAAGAAGCAGCAACAATTTTTTTTCAGCGTTTATTTCCAGAAAATGATAGTAATCAATTGATGAATTTTTAAAATATAGAATCTTTTGATCAATCCCTTTCGTTTTTGGAAATAGTAAAAAAAAAAGCACATCAAATCGCAATTCGTCTTTTTTCTTTATCTGCAGCTTCAGCTTATGCATAACTGTTATGGCATCGATTCATACATCAAAACATAATTGCTTCACAAATACTCGTGCAACACAAATCAAATGACAACCAAATCATCAATAATCTAATCCAAACTCTAATACCTACCAATTGATGCTAACATAAATCCTGCCTGGATTTGTTTGAAGTAATGAAGTTTCACAAGATGATAGGATTGAAATTGAAGACGAAGAGGATATCAATTAATTATATCAAGATATTACAGAGGAAATGTTAAAGTATTTTGATTTTAATGAGATTAATGAATTAGCATCAATATTGTATAGAATTTAATTATAATGTTTACAAAGACTAACAAATGATTTCGCTTGAGAAATACGTTTTTTTAATTATACTGTATATATAATGTTTACAAAATACTACTTAAGGTTTTAGAGTTTTTAAGTTAACAACTTAAAAATGATTGAAAAAGGTTTTTACACACATCACCATGGATGGACGGATTGGACCAATCATCAATCTATGATTATCATTATATTTTTATTAAAGAGAACATATTTAAGAATGAAAGACAAAGTGTACATAATATTTATGAAATAATATAGTTTTTAGTCTTTTGTTAACTGCACAAAATTTTTCATGCTGATCGTATAAATTTCTTGAGGTCTTGCGTGAATTATTATCTTGTTCATTTTTAATTTCCCGGCCACATTCATTATATCATCATAATATTCTTCTAATTTTATTTTTAAGTTTTCATCTTCTTCTTCCAAAGACTATCAACAATATATAAATTTTTTGTGTATATAAAACTTATTTCTTCAGATCAGAAAAGAAAAACAATTCTTCTTACTTTCAAAATTGTCTCTAAAAATAATCATGCTTTGATAATACTTGCTTGTTTATAATTTCCCCAATTCCTCTTATTGATTTATGTTTTATTTTTTGTTTTAGTACTATTTGGAATCAAAAAAACAGCTTTTGAGAAGAGAAGAAACATAGATAGTGATAAACAATGATAATAACCAGTAAGGGTGTATATATAAAAGAAAATATTTTGAATAATTAATAATTGAATAAATATTTTTGAAATAATAAAAACTGATGGATAAAAAAATTGTGAAGATGATGTTTCTAATAGTGTCATCATTGTCACTATTACTATGAAAATTGAAAGAATCGGAATATTGGCTTCGATGTTCGAAATTCAATCGGCGGGTTGGCGCACGCAGTAAGCCACACAAAATCAAAAACCCAATATGCGGATTTTAATATTATTAAAAACTCCCCTCCATAATAATCAACAATAATAATTAAATAATAATTGTTATTTTAAAAATTGTTCCGGTTTATATTCCCGCGTAACAAACATTGAAGTATTTATTATTCCACAATGCCATTCATTTGAGAATGGCCTTTATTAAATTCATAGTAACAGATTTTTTGAAAAAATATTTTTATTTAATTTATCCAAATATAGCTCTTCTAGTTAAAATAGTACTTATTATTTCTCTCTCAAATGCTAATGTTGAAATAATCTTTTCTCAAGCAAAATTAATTAAGGATAAAATAAGAAACAAAATGAATGTTAATGCATTAAATAATCATTTAATGATTAAATTAAATGGATATTGGATTCTTATTTTGGGAATGCATATGAAAGGATCCTGAAAACTTCTAATTGAGGTCCCAGGGTAAAATACACATAGAAAAGTGAAAGATGTCACCATTGCTGATAGGGTAAAGTTATTATGGATACATCAAAAGGTCCAAGACTTTTAATGGTAAAATTTTCTATGTCCAATGAAGAATGGGTAGAATTTATATAAAATTTTTTTAAGCTCATTATTAAGTTTTTTTTAAAAAAAAAGTCCCATGATATAAATTAAAGACACTTACCGTGAATGATTGAGCTGGTAGTTACCACTGCCGTAAATAACTGTTGGTAGCTACCATTTGTCGTAAATAATTACAGATGCCGTAAATAGATACAGCTGCTGCAAATAGATGTAGTTGCCATAAATAGATACAGCTGCCGCAAATAACTATGGTTGCCACAAATAGATACTGCTGCAAATAGTTTTCAATTATTGTCGTTAGTATTATTAGTCATGTGAAAATTTTCTTGAATTATTTGTAATCTGCAGCAACTAATCAGTCATTCATTTACAGTGAAACTATAAAATTTGCAGCAGCCATATCTTTTTATGGCAGCCGTATCTGTTTGTAGCAGCTGTATATATTTGCTGCATTTGTACCTATTTATGGCAGCCATAATTATTTACGGCAACTGTAAATATTTTATAATGGTAACTACCAGGGGTGACTACTCTATGGTAGTTACCATGCCGCAGATAACCAATTATAGCAGATGTCTTTAACTATGATCATCCATATTGCATTGGTTACAAAAAACATAAAGGACATTTTTTGAGTCGTTAGAACAGATTTTACATTCAAGGATATGTTTTACAAATCTTTGTTTTTCTCAGATTGACATTGGAACAAGGTACAGTAAATAATCCCACTCTATGTTAAGATATTTAAAAGCATCATCAATTCACTTCTTTTTCAAATAAAAAAAAAACAAATAATAAATCCTTCAAAAATACTGTTTAAACGACAAATAGTCAGTAAATATTTACAATATTTACATCTATACATGAAGTCGAAACTATTTCAACCATTTGCAGATCTGGTCGAAATAGGGTCGAAACTGATTTTTACTATGTAGTTGCCTCAAGTCGAAACATTTCGAATTTGGGGTTTTAATTTTGACTTCATGTATATTTACATCCATAATTACATTTAAAAAAAATGCTTACTTTCAACTATTTATAAATGGTGAGAAATTTGATTGGCCAAATTTATACAGATCCTTTCGTTGGATTAAGCAAAAAATCATAGCGAGAGCTTTATTGACTGGCCATATAATTTCCAAATTATAAGATTAAGCAGTACAAAGGATGATTTTAATATTAATATTATATATACACAAAATCGATAATTTTTCCATAATAATTATTTTATTTACTTATCTTTTTTGTTACTGAATCCTTTCCTTGAATGTGAACACCTATATATACATTGCAATATTCATAATGATTATTCAATACATTTGATATTGTCATTTGCATAACAAACAATTGCATAACCAAGTAATAAATAAATAGGGAGAATCAAAAAATATTATTTTTCTTTCTCGTTATATAGTTCCTTAAAACCACATATAAATCTGATATCAATCACAGGTGTCAGATTTAGTAAATTTTTCCTAACACAAACATACAGGTTAATGCTTTCACACGCCCTCATAACTATGGAATTTTTTCCACAGGTGAAGACCACCCATATGTTGGAAGGATTTTAAAGGTGGGATGAGACTTCCTTTTATCTCCCCTCAGTTCAGGTTTGGCCGTTACTAAATAAGCATCAGAAAGAAATCCAACGGCTTTTTGAAAGAGAAAGAGCATAAATGCAATTTCAATAATAATAAATTCAGAGTTCCCAACCTCATTCTGAATTTTAAATTTCACCCCGAGCTTGAAACAAGTTGCAAATTCTCATTGCTTCTATGGATCTGGTTGTTTACATGCCTAATATTACAATTTTTCAAAATGAAACAACCTCAAAGTTGCGACCTCTTGATTGCAGAAACAACTATTTTTACCCTAGAAATAGAATTGTTTCAAAAAACTTTTCTGCCAACATGCTTATTTAGGTAATGCCAGCGAGGGAATGTTAGGCATGATTTATAAAAGAATGATACAATCTTGATAAACTCCAGATCACGTCCCCCCCCTGAAATTTAATTATATCATTGGGGCATACTAGTCAGATTAGCCTTGTGAACATAAGGAATGTGAGAGAATGACTGTAATATTTTATTGAAATAATGTACGTGCTTCAACATTTGCCAATTTCCTATAATCAAACATTACATATCGAATCATTTCATCCAGAAAATTCTGACAACAGAATCAAAACACAAAAAAAACATTGGTATCACGTCTTGGCAAGAGGCCTGGCTGTAAATGAATATTTGCAATTACTTTCAATCAAAATCCATTGAGTTGGTGGAATGAAAAGCAGAAACAATTTCTAGTCTGGTACAAAAGTATTTATCTGTATCTGTATCTGCAACATCTACACCAAGCGAAAGACTTTTGTCGGATGCTAATAATTTATTAAAATGTAAAAGAACACGGATTAAACCTGATTTTTTTAAAAAAATTATGTTCTTAAAAGAAATAAATCACAACTTGAAACAATTCATCCTCTAAATTAAATAAAAATTAAATAAATAAATATTTTATTATTTTAAATTCCAACAAATAAATGTTTTTGGTGTTTATTAATATCATATTAATATTATTAATATTGTTATTATCCAATAATATTTGCTGTTTTAACGAATTAACCCGTTGCCAATCGGATGGAAAAAATTCTTAACAGGTCCATAATAATAACGTTAACCCGTTAACAATCCGGGTCGCGACGCAAACTTTGATCGTTAAAACTTGCAAAGGCTTTTTAACAAGGGCCAAAATTTACTTTTTGTATAATAGCTTCAGCCTTTCATCCATTAAAATTCCATTTCACCAATTACTTTTTTCCTCTCTTCTTTACTGAAGATAAATTATGAGTTCTTTTTTTGTAAAAAAGGATTGACATTTTTGCTTGGTTCATTATCAGAGATTTATTTTGGTATAAATACATTTCACCCGCCATAATAAGCTCATATCTTTTTCTAATGCACTTGCATCTTACAAGGCTCAATTGCAGATAATTATATTGCGCTGGTTGCAGAGATTGTATTAGTTGTTGTGAATAATTATTTTGTATGGCCAAATAACTCTTATTGTTAATTTAATGTTGATATTTTGAGCCACTGTTGTCAGTTGTAATATATGAAGAGATTGATATCTGTTTATAGGGTCGACAGAAGTTCAAATTTGCCTTTTTAGGATCCTCTTGCAAGAGATAAATTGGCTTTCAATTAGTGTTGGTTTCCAAAATTAGAGAGTTTCACAACTGTGCGAAAGTCAAAAGGTTTCGCCATAAGTCGAAACTAGTTTTGATTTTTGACAATTGACTTTTGATTTAGTTTTGACATATAACTTTTAATTTTAGTTTTGACTTTCGCCTCTTCAAAATAGTTTTGGAAACCAACACTACTTTCAATGTATAGTTGGCTTGGTCTAAAGACCTCCTAAATTTTGGGCAAATTTTAAAAATATAAAAGTCACTTTCTGTCATACCTTTTAAAAAAACAGTTCTATTAGTTGATAGAATATGTCTTTATTTTTAATGTAATAGAGAGATTTTCTTAAAAAAATTATTCATTGTAGAGTTCTATTCTTTTTTAAAACATGTACTTTACTATGCTCGCGAGGAATTTGTTCACTAAGATCATTTCTAAATTTAGGAAAAATATTACTAAATTTAGACTATTTCTTAACTATCGTATCTAAATTTGGCAGTAAGGAAACTAAAATTACGTGAAGTCCTATTTTTTGAAAAATTTTATTACATTTTTGAACGAATTACAAAATTGCTATTTCGAAATTTGGCCGCATGACACAGCAATAGGAGGTCTTTAGACCAAGCCAACCATATAAATTTTGAAATTAATGGTACTGTGAGATCAAAATCCGCGTCTCACATAAATCTCTTGGGTTTGATTAAACTAATATTTGTTTCGTTTTATGGCAGTATCAAATTATGTAATTCTTTGATTACTTTCCCTCTCTATAGCGCTCAAGCTATTTAATTATTTACAGGGCAAGTTTTCTTTACTTCCCTTCCGGTAACGTTTTCTCAGCAGT